GTGACGAATTTTCCAAAGAATTGTTTGTATACTTTTGCTCTCTGGTCGTTTTTCCTAGATAATCTTAATTTCTTTCGGTAAAATACTGAATAAAATTCTTTGATGTTCGTGCCAAATTCGAAGCCGAAAAGAGGTTTCTAAAATTCCCGGCAAACCCAGTAAAAAGACCCCATGATTTTAGGAAAAGAAGAAAAGCATCAGAAAATAACGGGCTTTTACGATTTTGATAAAAACTCATAGTTTTGTGATCGGTTTTTAACAAAACCTTAATGATTTTCGGGTAAAAACAGGATTAACGTATTTTCGTTTTTACCCGAATTCGACGCTGAAAAAGTTTTTGTAAAATTTCTACAAAGCTATAAATTGATCTTGTAATTTTTCGCGTAAAATACTGACAGATTGTCAGTATTTTTAAGGGAAACGCTTCAAAATTTTTGAGTAGAAAGCAATGCGAGAAAAAAATTCAGTCAAAACTAAAAACGGCGGTTTTTTAACAAACTCTATAGTCTGCAGAGGGATGAGGGTGAGGAGTTTTCCAAATAATTTCTTATAATGCTGATGAAATAAAAATGGAAAGGTGACTAAAATTCATTTTGGTACGGGAAGTGCTCAAAATGCCTCGTCAGTCCTTTGTTCATAGACGGCATATACAGGATGATTTTGTGCCAATAAGGCAAGTGAGCTAGATTATCCGCTATCTGCTAATAAAGATTAAAGTTTTCAATTGGGAGTGGATTTTTATTGTTTTTTCAAGTGAGTTTTTTGATGGTTAATGGGGATAAAATGGAGAATGGGGAGCCAGCTTGCCGATAGCTGGTAAGAATAAATTATAATCTATCAATCTTTCATTTAAACTGAGTGTAGTTTTTCGAGAAGCAACTGAAGTTGATGGCATTTTTTATTTCCTCTGTTCATTTCAAGTAATTTAACTTAGACACTGACTAAGTTTCTGCAATGAATTCTAAATAATGTTTTTCTTTCTTTCCAGTTGGTACGATGCAGCTTTCGGTAAGTTTGGCATAACTTTTCCCTGATTACCTTGTGGATGTAGAGCTTTTAGTCCCATATTATTGACTTGTACTTTATTATATTGCTGCATGCCCTTTTTATTCGACAATTGACGTTCTGGATTCTGAATTGAGTATGGAAATTTTTCGAATTTTCTTTCGGTAAAACTAATTTAAACTCAGACAATATACGTTAACAAATGAGACTCTACAGAAGACTCTTTTGATATGTAAAACTATTAACTTTCTGTTGTTAACTATACTTTTTTGTCTTGGCGGGTAATTTGCTTCATTTGCATTCTTTTTCTTATTTAAATTACACCCTAAATTGAACTGGACTTGAATTCTCAATTCGATTTTTCAAATTAAAGATCATTTTCACTCAATTGCTGCAAGGAATATTGCCTGCGAAGAGTTAGAAATTGAATAATTGTCTGCTTTTTCAATCGCAATGCCAGTCAGAAAAATGCCTTGTACATTTACCTCTGAAAAATCCTATCTACGACGACCTCATAACTCAAAAACTCTCAAATTTTCACACGATGGCAGCGAAAGCCTTTACAATTTAGACGATCGTCCACTCATATAGTCAACATAAGTCTGTAGCTGAACATGTTTGTTTCAAACAGCCAAATTTTCGAGGCTTTGGCCCCATGGGTTTTTTACCAAGTATTTTGGAAAATCGATCGTCTTCCATCAGCCAGTTGGTGCGGTTTCCAAACACGCAAAATTCGTTCTTTTTCTTGTACTGCGTCTTGAACGCAAGGATGTTCTTCACTCATGTTGAATATTTCCAATTCTCAATACCATTTTTCGAATTGAAAATAATTTTCACTCAATTTTTCGAGCGAAATACGAGTTATATTGTCATCTAAGCTAATTATTTACGTTTCGATAATAAAGAGATTCAATAATAGTAGTTCGTTAGTGGCGTTTTTTGTAGAAATGCCTTCTACTACCAAAAAAACGAAAAAATCGGAGGAAACATTCGCGTACAATTGCATGATCCGTTGAAAACTGTTAAAAAATTTCGCCCTTCAAATGAATCCAGCATGGGAATTCTATTTGCACCAATTAGGGCATTTTGTCAACTTGCTAACTGTCCCCGATTGAACCGTGTAACCGATATTGAAAATTAACTGTTATCAAACGTGAAAGCCCTATATAAAATTATCCAAGTATTGAGCGAGAGCAAAACAATGTCGGTATTTTCCAGCTAAACTCCCCAACATTATCTTGGCTGCTTGTTGTGATGGCACTTCCAATTTGCCCCTGTTTCTCTCTTTTATTCCGTTTTTCGCATGTCTTTATTAGTGAGTATTGTATTTCAAATGTCACTGTTTTTTTTCCTCCTTTGCGTTTGATTTGGTGTCGTGCTTCGTTGATTGGCAGCTGCCGGCTGCTTTGCGCTTTTTCGTTGGACGTTCTTAGTCAAGAAACGATCTTATTCAATAAGTTCACGATTATTTGCAATCGTTCTGTTACCCACTATAAGATTAAGGGGTGGGTTCTACAAACGAATTTAATGAGAAAATACCGTTTGCTACCATGCACAGAGTGGCAAATAAACATGAATAACAAGGATATACTATATATACTATATACTATATATAAATAACAAAATCAGGCTAGAAACCTCTGAAAAACATTTTGACAAATTGAAACTGCATTTTATGGTGGAATCAGTCAGGCACCGACCCTTGCTATAACGCCCTGTATGTAAAAGCACTAGAAAACATTGCCGTCCATGAAAAGAAAAATTGAGCTCGCATAGCAAAGTGTTAAGAGATCCATCTGTTTAATACGAGATTGAAAAAAAGTTTATACTTTTATCAGTTGACAAAAGCGCACAAAACTGTACAAATCGCTTTGTCCAATTCCTTCGATTAAATTATTTTTTAGAGTTTTGCAGCACCATTTGCCAATTCAGGTTTTGCGAAAATCATTGATTGGCGTACATCGAAAGCGATTTCATCTGCAAAAAACTGTTGTGATTGCAAAAATGTATATAAAACGGTTATTCGATTAAGCGCGTTTGTTAATATTAGTACTGAACAAGGATTTTTCCGATTTGCCCAACTAATTAATCGAGCTAATCAACGAAAGAGCGTCAACCGAACATAGCGG